CTCTACCTCCTGAGGGTTTCACAGCTTTTCCAGAGCACCACTAGCTGGGGACCAAGTGTTCAAACACATGAGCCTGTGGGGGACTGTCCTATTCAAATCACAGTTGTTTATGTATATATAAAATATGTAGGAGAGACAGGAATACATATAAAAAAAACTTGTGCTGATTGTAGGTTTTCTTGAACTTTCCTTTATAGTTATGTGATACTCCATTGTCTACCTCATAATCTATTTAGTCATTCTCCTATAGCAGAGGACTATGTGCTAATTGAACCCCAAGTCCCTTTGAACACCCAAGAATGTAGCTGTATTTGGAGGCAGGATGTTTACTGAGGTGGTCAAGTTCAATGATTGTATGACAGCAAGGTCCAATCCAATTCAACCGTGATGTCACAAGAAGGGAAGATACCAGAGGACCAGAGAACAAGAAGATAAAATCAATCCTACCAGCTGTCAAGTTGGGAGCATAGGCCCCAGTCCCTCGCATCTATCCCAGCAGGCCAGGTCCTGGTCAGGACCACTCCCCAGGGTATTTAAGTGATCCCCCAAAAGAGGAACACGTGGTCTCCCTTTCTTCCTCCTGGGGGTCGCGTTTCTGTGGCTTCCCGGTTTACCCCTCGGGGCCACCTGAGAGCACAGATCTCCCATTAAACCTGGATATTTCTTAATTTGGCTTGTTTTGATTTGGCTTGATTGAGAATTTTTGCGTCGCCAGGGAGCTCGTGTTAAGAAATATTCCCAACACCTGCATCTTGATTGGCCTCTAGAACAACTTGAGAAGAAACGATCCCCTTTCAGGCCGTCTCCTCATCAGGGTTTTGTTACTGTGTCCAGAGAGACTGAGGCAATATTACAATTTGTGCTGTGGTGAGGAATCTCCTTTACGTCAAACACTACGTCCTAATACTTCCGCTCGGCTTTCATGTGTCTTTTACTTCAAAACTATTTGAAATCTGCAAAAGTGGCCAGAATAGTATATTTATTAGGTTTACATTCTCGGCCCAAATTTACCAACTCAGTTACCAGCTTAATTTTCCTTTTCTTTGTTTGTCTAGTTTGTTTTCTTTCTCTATCTCTGGACTTTTGTAATTTGCAAATATGGAGTGCTTTCCTTCCAGGACAGGCTCCAAAACCACAGAGAAACCCTGTCTCGAAAAACCAAAAAAAAAAGAAAAAAAAAAAAAAAGAAAAGAAAAAAGAAAAAAAAAGAAAAAATACTTTAAAATCAAATTCTTAAATTCATCAAATACCAGAGACATTTAAATTTATATGCTACCACTTCATCTACAGGTTCAATCAAGTTTGCCACTTTTCTCAGTAACGCCTCGTGCAGCTCACTCTTCTTCCCCGACAGTCAGTCCAGGAAGATCTGCAAGCACTGCTGGTACTCTATTCTTTCTACTCTTTCGGCTCTGGGCATCGAACCCAGGACTTCGTACACGTCAGGCAAGTGCTTTGCTACCCTAACATCTCTAGTCCTTGTTTCTGAGGATCTCTGGTCTTCTCTAGCTTACCTAACCTAATGCAGTTCTCAGCCTTTTTGTTGTCTTTTGTCCCGATGGAAGGTTTGTAAGCACAAGACATCCATTCTGCAAGTGCCAACAGTGTGGGTGTGGCTGGTGTCTCCTTTGGGTGAAATAAAGAAATAAAAAAGAAAGAAAAGGCCGGAATGCCCCTAGGTGTGGCAGAGGAGAACGTTTGTTATAGACGCGTGGGTGAGCATGGTCAGAGACAGGGACTTCTGGGAGAGTCCAGAGTGGACATGACCAGGCTGAGCTGGGCCATGTGGAGAGAGGGGGAAAGGAAAGCAGAGGGGAGAGAGGGGAACTAGGGGCAGCAGCCAGGAGGCCAAAGGTACAAAAGGGCAAGCAACCAAAATGTCTGGATTATATAGGAAAGAACCTCTGGGGGAAGGGCAGCCCAGTCCCTGGACTGGAGAGTTCAGGGTAGAAGTGTGTGTGTGGGTGTATGGCAGTCATACCCTGTAACAGGTAGGGACTGAGGGACGCTGGGAGAACCTGGAGGCCAGGTCCATTTTGATATTGGTACGTCGGCCCTTTGTCTCAGGTTTGAAACTTAACAATGTTGACTTTTACACCTGATTGAGCTGCCTATCAGCTGAGCTTCCCTTGTGAATGTATTTGCTATTTGTCTCATTGCAATAATAAAATATCCTGACAAAAGCAACGGAAACGGGAACTTTGACCCCCCCAGTTCCAGGGCACAGTTCACGACAACAAAGAAAGTGTGGGGGCAGGAGCCTGAGGCTGGAGGGACCCACAGACCACATCCAAACACCAGTTCCAGCGCAAAGAGATCATTTATTAAATAAGGCAAAGAGAATAGTGGCTAAATCTGAATCAGGCAGAAACAGCAGCAAACAGTTTTGCAGGAGCGATTTTAAGGGGGAAATGGGAGGTCTCTGTTAGGCTGAACTTTCATGGCTGAACCTTGATATTTTGATAGTTGAACGTTGGTGATCAGCCTCAGGAATGAGTCAGGCATATGAAAGTGACCAAATATACTACAAGGACATTCAGCTATGTTCATAGCAGCATTATTTGTAATAGCTATAAATTGGAAACAACCTAGATGCCCCTCAACCAAACAATGGATATTTACTCAGCAGTAAAAAACAATGACATCTAATTTGCCTGCAAATGGATGTAACTAGAAAAAACCATCCCCAGTGAAGTAACCCAGACCCGGAAAGATGAACATGGTATGTACTCACTCTTAAGTGGATACTAGCTGTAAAGCAAAGGACATTGAGCTTATAGTTCTTGATCCTAGAGTAGCTAAGAAACAAGGTGAACCCTAACAAAAACATATACAGATCCACCTAGAAAGCAGAAATCGACAAGATTGCCTGACAAAATTGGGAGCATGGGGGTGGGGGAAGAAGGAAGGGTGGAAGGGGAAGAGGAAGGGAAAGGAGGGGGGAAGACCTTGAGGGAATGGGGTAGTCGAGATGGAGGAAGAAGAGAGATGAGAACAAGAAAAGAGATATTTTGATTGAGGGAGTCATTATAGGGTTAGCAAGAAACCTGACGCTACAGAAATTCCCAGGAATCCACAAGGATGACCCCAGATAAGACCCTAAGCAATAGAGGAGAGGGTGCTTGAACTGGCCTTGCCCTGTAGTCAGATTGATGACTATCTTAAATGTCACTATAGAACCTTCATCCAGCAACTGATGGAAACAGGCAGAGACCCTCAACAGAGCACTGGGCTGAGCCCCCAAAGTCCAGTTGAAGAATTGGAGGAGTGAGAATATGAGCAAAGAGGTCAAGACCATGATGGGGGCACCCACTGAAACAGCTGACCTGAGCTATGGGAGCTCACCAATTCCAGCTGAACAAGGAGGGGTAGAGTGGGGGATAGATGGAGGGAATGGGATGAGGGGAGGGAGAGGGAACTGGGATTGGTATGTAAAATGAAAAAAGATTGTTTTATTTTTTAAAAAAAAGATTCATATATTCATTATGTATACAACATTCTGTCTCCATGTATGACCACAAGCCAGAGGAGGGTGCCAGATCTCATTACAGATGGTTGTGAGCCACCATGTGGTTGCTGGGAATTGAACTCAGGACCTCTGGAAGAGAAGCCAGTGCTCTTAACCACTGAGCCATCTCTCCAGCCCCGACTGTTTTCTTTTTAAGAAAGAAAAATTATTCATAGCAGCATTGTTTGTAATAGCCAGAACCTGGAAACAACCTAGATGCCCTTCAATTGAAGAATGGATGAAGAAAGTATGGAATATATACATATTAGAGTACTACTCAGCAGTAAAAAACAAGGACTTCTTGAAGTTTGCAGGCAAATGGATGGAAATAGAAAACACTATCCTGAGTGAGGTAAGCCAGACCCAAAAAGAGGAACATGGGATGTACTCACTCATATTTGGTTTCTAGCCATAAATAAAGGACATTGAGCCTATAATTCGTGATCTTAGAGAAGCTAAATAAGAAGGAGAACCCAAAGAAAATCATATAGGCATCCTCCTGAATATTAACCATCAGGCGATGAAAGGAGACAGAGACAGAGACCCACATTGGAGCACCAGACTGAAATCTCAAGGTCCAAATCAGGAGCAGAAGGAGAGAGAACACGAGCAAGGAACTCAGGACCGCGAGGGGTGCACCCACACACTGAGACAATGGGGATGTTCTATCGGGAACTCACCAAGGCCAGCTGGCCTGGGTCTGAAAAAGCCTGGGTTAAAACCTGTCTCTCTGAACATAGCGGACAATGAGGACTACTGAGACCTCAAGAACAATGGCAATGGGTTTTTGATCCTACTGCACGTATTGGCTTTGTGGGAGCCTAGGCAGTTTGGATGCTCCCCTTACTAGACCTGGATGGAGGAGGGTGGTCCTTGGACTTCCCACAGGGCAGAGAACCCTGATTGCTCTTTGGGCTGACGAGGGAGGGGGACTTGATGGGGGAGGGGAGGCGGAGGTGTGGAAGAGACAGAAATCTTTAATAAATTAAAAAAAAATAAAAAAAATAAAATGCCACCGTATTGGTTTGATTTAAAAAAAAAAAAAAGAAAGATGCTATGTTTGCTTTCGCCCTCCCCACGCTTTCTACATAAAGGCATGGAGACCAAATGCTTGGCCTTAGCTTTGGCTTGCCCCACTGGTTTTCTACACCTTGTCTCTCTTCATCTATGTTTTGCCTCGGGTTTTTTACCTTTCTTTCATCCTGTATGTCCTACTTTCCTGCTTCCTCCGTGTCTGGCTGGTCTCTGGTGTCTCCCTGGCATCTCTATTGTTTCTTCCTTGAGTCTAAACCTCCTCCTACTTACTCTCCTTGCTGACAGTCCTGCCTGTACCTCCTATATTGCTTTTGGCCTTTTAGCTTTGTAGAACAGTCAGGGGCCTTAGGCAGGGAACACAAAACAGCAACACATCTTTACATAATCAGACAAACGTAACACACCCCTGCACAGTCAGACAAATATTCCATAGCATATTCTCTTAGAACAATGTAAAAACAATATGGAAGGCTTCAGGAATTTGCACGTCATCTTTGCGCAGGGGCCACGCTAATCTCTATATTGTCCCAATTTTAGTGTGTGTGCAGCCAAGTGAGCACCTCCTGTCTCTCTGAATACTATGCGAACTCATAAACTTTTACCTTATCCATAAACTCTATTCTACTACCACCATTATTTACTTTGATGTCTATCCAAAATTTTTAATTTCAAAGAACTCATTCTCATTCCCAATTGCCTTTTCTTTTGCAAATGTCCTCGCAGTGATTAAAAAATAGGCTATCTTCTAAAGTTCTCTTCTACCATAAGTTTTCTCTCCTTTTCCTTGCACCTCTTTTTTTGAGAACAGAACTTTTTTCAAACCTGGGAGCTGTCGTTGTTTGTTCATCCTAACACGAAAGCGGTGGGCAGGCTGGTGCCATGGCTGCCGTTTTCTCTTCAGCTCTGTGGGTGCTTTTCCATGGAAGAGACCTTTCTCCGGACACGCCTGCACATTGCTGCTGCCAGGTGTGAGACACAGGCACTGCAGGTGCCCACGCTGCCAGATGCACCAAGGAGCTGTTTCCTCTAGGTGGATACATTCCCCCAGGAGGAAGGTGAGAGGCTCATGGGAGTCAGGAAGCCTGAGAACCGTGTCTCCCTAGACCTGCCGGGTAGCTGTATAAGCTGTGAAACATTGAGAGGACTCTTTGGGTACAGCTGTCTGAAAGTTGGGACGGGCAATTCCAGGGATGCAGATTTTGGCTATGCTGGGGTGACCTTTTCAACAATACATCTACTTGAGTTACCCCAATAAAAAGTAACCCCAATAAACTCACTGGGGAACCAGGCCAGACCTGGGTGGAGTTCTTCCTTTGGGCTGTTGCTGTTCTATCTGCATTAAACAGGCATTTATTAACGTTTCTCCAGAAAAGAGTTTTACAACGGGATGTAACAGCCATCCCTCCCACCCTTCCTGAAGAACCAGACAGAATTACCTTGGGCCTCCAGCCCTCCACTGCTGAATCTCTCATTCTCTCCCAGGACAGCCACCACGACGTCAGTTCTGGCACTCCTGGCTAGGCGAGGGCAGAGTCTGCGCGTGGGAGACAGCGCGGCTTTGGCGAAGGTAGTCTTCCACTGAGCACGTCTACAGCTCACCATTCCGGGACGCTATTGCTCCCTGCCTAGGGACTCCTGGAGTCCAGCATTCCTGAGGTTCAGGCTGAGGGGCAGCTTCCATTCCAGCCTTGGTGGGCTCCTCCATCTGTTTACCTGTCGGTGTTGGCCTTCACTGTCACCATCCAGACATTCACTAACACCTCTGAGGGTGATGTTAGCTTCTCTTTCCACACTGCCAGGGGCTATTTCCTCAGGTGGGTCTGTGTATTTTCAGCAGAGTTTGAAGAAGGCAGGGAGATGAACACGTGAAGATAATGACTTTCAGAACAGGATGTGTCTAGGGAGTTGTCTGGGAAGTTGGGGACTCAGTCTTGGTCCTGAACTGGCCACATCTACATCACCATCGCCTTCTGCTTTTTGCCTCCCTTGCCTCTGGGGACCATTTTCCCAAAATCTGACTCTGGGCACCTCTCTCTGGCATTTTCCTCCTGCCATCCCAACTCATGGCAAATAAATTCTGGCGCCTCCTTTCTCCTTCTCACAAGGCAAGAAGTTTCGAAGGCTTAGCAGCGGGAGAAGACCTGAAAGCAAATTCGGGGAGACACGAGTGCTGTGAACCCTTTACCCACTTTCTATTCTCAATTCCCCTGCTAAACACGGGCACTAACCCTTCTAAAGAACTGTTCTTCCTAGAGACCTTGAAAGAGCTGAAGTACAAGGATCAGAAGTCGCAGAATGAAAGACACCGAGTACCGCCACAGTGGTGAGAATGTACCATCCACCCAAAGTGCTCCAGGACACTAAGACACAGCTTTGCCCGGAGGAGCCTCACCCATCAGGTTTTCAGTTATGGAGCCAGACTGGGAAGAGGCAGTCAACTGTTCACTGCTCTAGGTGAACGTGATGACACATGAGAGTCCACCTTGTGCAGACGGTGACCCGGGGCCTACAGCCTGGCATTGTGGGAAAGAAGAAAAAGCAGTCAAACTGGAGTGCACACTGGGAATATCCAGAAGCCCATGAAGCCCATGGCAATACGGCACAGCAAGGTGTCAGAGGAAGGTGGGTGGAGATAAACCCTGTGTCTCAGCTCCCCTGACCGTTTGCCTATGCAGAAGGGCTGAGGAGTGTTCAGACCTGGCAGAACGCCTTTTGCTGCTTATAATGGCGGACAGAAGAGCTAAGAGTGCTTTATTTAGGCCAAATGTAAGATTTGCCTCAATTACCTCTTGCCATAACCAACTACCTCAGGCAGCTTACACGAACATTTCATTATAGATTCTAATAATATATTTGGCTGAGTGATTCTCACAGTTCACCCCAGCTAGAATTGCTTGCGCATCTCTGTGGCAGAGTTCTTCAGGTGTATGAGCTGCTCTGTGGCCTTCAAAGCCTTCACTCACGTGTGGTACTGTGGGGTGAAAGGAAGGCTGGGCCCAGCTGAGGCCAGAGACAGCAGTGGTCACATGTGTCACCTCAGCCCGGCAGTCTCAGCACTGATGATGACTTGTGGCTCAGGGCTCAAAGAGAAAGTATGACACAGACAACATATAACAACACAACATATGACATCAGACAACATACGACAGCAGACAACATACGACAGCAGACACATATGACAGCAGACAACATACGACAGCAGACACATATGACAGCAGACAACATACGACAGCAGACAACAGACAACATATGACACAGACAACATGACAACAGATAACATATGACACAGATAACATACGACAGCAGACAACATACGACAGCAGACAACATATGACACAGACAACATATGACACAGACAACATATGACACAGACAACAGACAACATGACAACAGACAACATATGACAGCAGACGACATATGACGACAGACAACATGTGACAACAGGCGACATGTGACAGCAGATGACATGTGACAGCAGACGACATGTGACAGCAGACGACATGTGACAGCAGACGACATGTGACAGCAGATGACATGTGACAGCAGACAACATATGACAGCAGACGACATATGACAGCAGACGACATGTGACAGCAGACGACATGTGACAGCAGACAACAAAGACAGCAGACAACATATAACAGCAGACAACATATGACACAGACAACATATGACACAGACAACAGACAACATATGACACAGACAACATATGACACAGACAACATACGACAGCAGACACACATGACGACAGACAACATATGACACAGACGACATGTGACAGCAGACGACATGTGACAGCAGACGACATATGACGACAGACGACATGCGACAGCAGACGACATGTGACAGCAGACGACATGTGACAGCAGACACATATGACAGCAGACACATATGACCTGAGCCACAGCACCTTTTCCTGTACTGCGTGCACTCACCAGGCTTCAAGGCAAAGGAGAAGAGACCCTACTTCCTGAAGTAGTTGGTAGCCCCTTGGAGCAGCATAGTAATAAGAGGGAAAGTAAAGAGGACAGCGCTGCGTTAGCTGACCCACGGGGTGACTGTGTAAGCAGACAAGTCTGGAGAATAGAGCTGTCTTAGCTACTTCTCTACTGAACACCATGATCAAGGCAACTATGAGAGAAAGCTCTTAATTTGGGCTTATGTTTCAGCGCTAAAACGTGGCTCCAGGAACATCTGAAAGCCCACATCTTGAGTCACAACAGGAGACAGGGAGCATACAAATCTTTTGAAACCTCAAGTCCACCCCCAAATGGCACAATCCTTCAATAAAGCCATACTTTCTAATTCTTCCCAAGTAGTTTTCCCAACTAGGGACCAAGTATTCAAACATATGAGCCAAGAGGGGCCATTCTCATTTAAACTACCACCATAGTGTAGAGAGAGAAGACAGAAGGGTAGATAGATAGATAGATGAAAGATAGATAGATAGATGATGATGGATAGATAGATACATAGATAGATGATAGATAGATAGATAGATAGATAGATAGATAGATAGATAGAGAGATAGATAGATAGATAGATAGATGATAGATAGATAAAGATAGATGCAAGATAACTCATTAGGAGAGTTGTTTACATGATCACAGAGGGGGAAAGGCCCATGCCAGGCTGTCTGCAAGGCAGAGACACAGGGATGCTCAGTCTAAACTGAAAAGTCTGAAAATATAGGGTCGGGGATTGCTGGAGTATAATGGAAACTGGAGGTGCAATTCTGATATACAGAGGCAAAAGGAAAAGAGTAGATCCCGGCTACAAGAGGGAAAGACCAACTCGCCTCTCTGTGCTATCTGTGCACCCCACCCACCCATTGCCGAAGTAGCACCCACGCATAGAGAGGGCACACTTTCCTTCTAAGTGCGCTCAGATTTGTGACAGTCCATACCCCCAAAATAATGCTTTACCAGTTCTCTGAGTATTCCTTTGTTCAGTCAGGTTGAGACCCAGAATTAACCATCCTGATAACCAAATCCTCTCTGGTTTTCTCAGGACTGAGTGGTTTCCAAGAACTTTCATGAATGAAACGAAGACCACTCCAGATAAATGGGCTTTGTTGGACCCTTCCCTGGGTCCTCTTTTGATTCACTGTGGCTTTGATTGGGCACAGGACTTCCTCTTATTTTGGTTTGCTGGGATCCTCTTGTAAGAGATGTGTATGTGTGGGTGTGGGGTTCTAGCAGATGGTCAAGAAGCATCTCTCCGAGAGTGAGTCAGCAAACACAGATCCTGGAAAGTAAGGAGAAAAGAGGCACTGTGGAGGAAACGGGGAGCTGCTGAGTCAGAGGACATTAACACTCCAGCTGTTGGCATTTGTTTACTCTCCCCTGAGCCCCAAGAGCCAAGGGTCCAGAGCTTCCTGCTTATCTCAGGGAGCAGAGGAGCCACTGCCATTACCTATGTGACTGGATAGACCCTATGCCTTCCTGAGTCCTGGGTTTTTGTTTTGTTTTAAGTTTTGAAAGCTAGCGTGAATTTACCAATTCGTCTGCTTAAAAACTGTTTTTTCCACTGGGTGGTGGTGGTATGTGTCTTTAATTCC